CCTTCGGGATGCTAGACCCTGGGATAATCTCTATCGCATGGACGACCTCCCTCTCAACAACCCTTGTCGGCTCTTCAAATAGATCAGGGTACTTAGCTACTACTCCCTCTATCTCTGGCGGGATTTTCACCGGCTCGCCTGCGGCAGAGACATAAACTAGATACATACCCTCCTCCTGATTTTGCTTATAGTAATTATAGAACGCGGTCGCACACATGCATCCGTAGGACTCAATCAGACTAGTAGCTTAAACTTACGTAATCTGGTGGTCCCTCCACCTAGCAAAGTGTGTTTGACCACTTTTCGATCCCAGTCAAACTGGGGTTGTGCCACAGAGAGGTAGTACATACCTAACAAGATATCCATGGGGAGATCATCACTCACTAGGAACGAGACGCGATGTCTCAGTTCCCCTCCCACGTACGGGAAACAAAACTCTACATCGTGGAGGTAGTCGTTGACTACCATGTGCTGTTTGTTGGCACAGGTCGACTCCACAGGTCGACTCAGGCGCTGCACTTGCCCCTGTAAGCGCAGCCTCTCAACGCACGCGCGACTAATGAAGTTCCGTGTCGAGCAAGTGTCATAATAGGCCCCGGCCTTGCGGCCGCCAATGACCACCTCGCTGACGAACATCTCACCCTTAGGGGCTTTGACTAATGTCGTCCAAGAAGCTAGCGGGTCTGATCTAGACCACTCCTCTAGCTCCTCTAAGGACTCAAACACATTCATCGAAGAAAGGCTCGATTGGTCTGAACGTGTTTGCGGGACGACGATGGAGTCAGTAGCTTGGGCCATCTCTCGAGATGGTGAGGGTGTATCCACCACCTCGACCCTAGCAGGAACAACTACTATTCCTACTGGCCCGACGTGTTTTACGCAAGCAATTTAAATTTTCAATTTTCATATGAATATGAATTAGAAAGAAGTCTACCTTCATAGCTCCAAGTTCTGTTTCTTCCTGATTTTCATACTCTTTTCTGAAGTGCCTTGGGATCACAAAGGTCTGTTGAGAACTGGTTTCAACTTTCAACTTTCTAGTGTTGTGTGAGCCTTTGTGAAAGTCTGTGACAGTATTGAGCTGTGAAGCTGTCAAGTTGTGAATAGTGAAAGACAGTAAGCTGTGTTTAGTACTGTTTATAAATCTTTTTTTTTTTTTTTTTCTTCCGTCCGAACATTTTTGTGTCTGGTGTACCAGTCCGGACGGTCCGGGTCCGGTCCTGTCCAGTTGTCCGGTGCCTGTCTGGATTACCAGATGTCTGGACCACTCCAGACAAATGTTTGGGCCTCGGTCCAGACATGCCCAGGTCCGGGTCCGCAATTGCCATGGTCAGGATCTCATCTTCTCCTTCCCCCATAATGAGATCCTGAGCTGGCTGGGTAATTCCCAGCTCCTGAGCTGAGATGTGGCCACCTTCCCTTACTGAGATCTCAGCCATTGAAGGATCAGCTGGTTGTGCCTGATCGGCTTGTTGAGTCGCTGGGCCCAGGAGAGGAAAATGAGTCTCCATGTTCTCTACCAAGCTGCATACACCCCTCTGCAACCTGTTTCCCACCCCCCTTGCCTAAGATATGGTATGCATTGCCGTTCTTTTTGTACTGACATTGGCAGGTTCAGCTTGCATCGCGACTACTGTTGATCTCACTCCAGCCACAGCTGGAAGTGAGGGTTTGAAGGCAGTGTGTCCCGTTGGTCTGGCATATGGGCTGGATACGAGAGGTGGGCCAGACACAGGCTGATGACAGTTGGGCGCAAGCAACCACCACAGGCCCAGGGGCTGAGTTGTTTGGACTGGGCCTCAGCCTACCGGGGCCTACCGAAAGCTTCTTGGGAAAGGCCCAGCGCAGCCTGGGACAGAACGCAGGCAGGCCACTTCCATATAGTAAAGGGCCTGCCTCCGCATTGGACATTCAGGCACTAGCTGCTTTGTGCGCAAGCGCTGCTGCGCTATCGCCTGCCAGGCTCACGCGCTCACGGGCAAGCTGGAAGGACCAGGCAGCCATAGCTGAGCTGCGCTGCTGTAAGTTGGATGGGGTGCAGGGTGGTCCTTGGGTGCAAGTGGCATCTGTGAGTTGGGGAACAAGGTTGTGAGTGATACGAGAGACATACCTCGTGCTAGAAGCGACGACATTGTCCAAGATCTGCTTGTACTTCGGTGAAGCTGTTGACGTCATCCGGCGGCATTGTAGAATAGGCTAGATAGGATCTGCCATCTGTAGTCTGGGCGCCGAGCGCCAGATAGGATATCAACATTGGTTCTTCGTTGATGATGATGATGAGACTATTCTAGCATTGTCAATTATGAGCTCTTGGTGTGTTCTGATTTGGTGAAACTCGTGATGCAATTCTGCTGTTGGTTCGAGGTCACAACTATCTGGTCTTATGTGTATGATGCTGTTTGATTTTCTGAAGTTCGCTATCGCTCATCTTCCTTGCAATTTGGTATACGTTGCGCTCATCTGGCGCTTGTCTTCTGCTTATGCGGTACATACATGCGGTCTGCTTGGTGAGTGAGGCCGTAGGCGGTGTGTAGTGAGGAGGGCGGAGACAAGGAGTGGCGACCCAGGAGGTGAGGGGATCGCCAGGAAGGCTACAGTGTGTATATTGGGTGTTCGCAGTGTGATGACAACTATCTGGTGGTGGATTGATGCTGAGGTGGAACGGCGAGATAATGCTGGTTGTGCGGATGCAGTGACTGGTCATCGCAATCGCCATCAGGTCATCTGGTGAGAATATCTGTGGTTGGGGGCAGCTATAATGAGGTACGTTGCTCTTAACCTTATCTACCCTCTTCATCACTTCTTACCGTGAGGTTGTGAGTTCCATCTTGAGAGTCCTCTCATGTGAGGTGTCGTGTGCGCTCAACCTTGAGAGTCAGCATTGTTTATGTGGAGCATCTGGAAGGAGAGGGCGGTGCTTTCTGAAGGGCCCTGGACGGAGCACTAGGTCACGGTCACCATGCCAACCCACCGGGAGTAGAGCACGCATGCTTTGCTGCTTTGTCCTTGTCTGTTTGTTGCGCTCATAGAGGGGTACTGAAGGGCAGGCCAGCCCTATGGGAGAGACGAGTACCGGGCGTCTATAAATTAACACCGGCTGGGGAAACCATTGGCTGTGATCGTCGTCCTGCTGCGACGTAAAATAATTCCTAATGACACTTGGGGGCGGTCGTTAAATTGCCTCTTGATCAGCCAATCGGTGTAAGGCTCGCTGCACACGAGGATAAACACAGTGCAGGGCTGGCCAACTCAGCAGCTACTCGGGGCACAGGGGTGGGCCGTGTGCACACCTTTAGTTACGCACGCCGAACTGGATTGCTCAGGGACGCTGACGTCAAGTGACAATCAAGGGAAATTGGGGAAGGGGTAGATTTCAGGTGATAAGTTTGAGTAAGATCCCATGCTGCAAACAGACCCAACAAATGATGTTATTTTTATTTTGACTAGTTAGAGGTACTGCCATTGACATCTGACAGACAGCATAGTTTAGAACTGATTTTGTTCATTGTGCTTTCTGTTTGCGAGCTAGTCAAAGTAGAATAGTATCATTTGTAGGAACCTGAACTTACTTGTTGATCCCAAATGTATCTACTCCGAAAAAGTCACCAATTAACT